CACTGGATGGATGGATGGATGGATGGATGGATGGATGGATGGATGGATGGATGGATGGATGGATGAATGGATGGATGGATGAAAGAAAGAGAGAGAGAGAAACTGTGTCGCTGTGAATCCTGCCAGCTATCATCTGCTGCATAAGATTTTTTTTTAAAAAAAAATCATTTCCTTGGTTGGAATATTTTATTTTTTTAGCCTATGTGTTATATGCTTGTTCCCAGGAGAAATAGAGTGAGGCTTTAGCTTTTCAGAAGGACCCCTGAAATATAGACTTGCCCTTAACTCAGGGAGAATCCCCAGTGAAAATGGGAACAGAGGATATGGGTGAGGATAACTCACTCACCATTAACACCTACCATTGTTTATTTGCTTTATCCCTGTACCAAGCACATGGTCAGTGCTGGTTCCTTGCCCTTGAGAAAGTGAGTGTTTGTCTAATAGTTCCTCATGCTAACTGCTCCTTGACTGCAAATGCCAGGGGGTGGGGGACCTGTAGACAACAGTAGAGAAATAAAACCGACAAATTTCAGCTTGCTGGATGGAGGTTTTACAAGACAGTGAACAGTTTCTTCAAGAGACTGCCATTAAAATAGAACAGGCATTTTCTATTAAGTGCAAAACTCTGTGGTTACAATATGATGAAGGCTAGTACAAGGAAGGCAAGACTTTCTGTATAGAAAAATCAGTCATGTGTCCAGAAATGACAATATTTAAGCTAGGTTTTGAAGAGAGACAATTATTATTACAGGCATTGTATTTATCTCCAGTCCTGGAGTGGTGTGTTTGTGTGAAGCAAATCAGACGGCAGCTTTCATACAAGAGCATTTTCAGGGCATAGAATTACAAGTTCCTTCTGAGACTTTAGCAACATGTGACTATAATAGCTGGGGTTTTGTTTCCAGCTTAGTCCTTAAGTATTTGAAGGTAGAAATCTTCATCATTTCAGAACATAGACCCATCAGAGCTCAAGTTGACCATTACTCTCCTCCCCAAGCGACAGCTTGTACCACGTGTGATATCTCTTTGAGGTTGTTCAGAGAGAAAATTAATATTTTTTTTCCATCTTCATTTTTCACCCTCTAGTTAACTGTCATTTGGAACTGATTTAATTTTATCCCAGTGCAGAAATCTTGATGCTCATGTTGGTCTATACAGTTTCATCTTGTGTAAAAATCCTAAATTCAATGGCACTGTTCAAAATTTCATAGCTAGGGCCCTCCCTGGTGGCGCAGTGGGTTAAAGCACAGCACTAAGAAGCTAAAGCCACTTCAGCATGAGTTCGATCCCTGCCCCAGAAGTGACCCACATGGCGTGGCAGACCTCTCCTGGTCTACCCACTGCTCCCCTCAGCAGTGTACTTCATCAGTCAGCCTGTTCTGCTCCCCAATCTGTCTTTGGTGAATCCTCTTTCTGCCCCTGCACCTCTGGCCTGCACCCCAGCTCTGTATGCATAAATAAATAAATATTTTTTAAAGATTTATTTATTCATGCATATAGAACTGGGGTACAGACCAGAGGTGTGGTGGGTGAGAGACTTCACCAGAGACAGAGTGGGGAGCAGAACAGGCAGACTGACGAAGTACACTGCTGAGGGGAACAGTGGGTAGGTCAGGAGAGGTCTGTCGCGCCATGTGGATCAGCTCCCTGGCGGGTTATCGAGCTTGTGCTACAGAGGCTTCAGAGAGCTTCATAATGCGGTGCTTTAACCCATTGCACCACCAGGAAGAGCCCAATAAATAAATCTTTCTAAAAATTTTTTTTTTCACAGCTAACCTATGACCATCAGCCCTCCCTGAGAGCTGACTGGAACCTGCACACGCTGGGTGGTAAAGACAGTCGGAAGCCTCTGAGTGTCAGGCTCTCAGCATTCACTGCTGCTCAGTTCCAGCCCTCCTGGGGGAGGAAACCACAGTTGAACTTTAACTGGGCAGTTTTCTGTGCAGCTTTGTTCAGTGTCTGAAACCAGCATTTTCCCACTTGAATCAAGTTTTCCACCAAGTGGTTGAGTGGGAAGGAAACAGAGTAGTTCTGCCAGAGGTCACCAGGACAGCCCTGTCTACTCTGTTCTACTTGGGCACTGACTCTCCATGTTCATTCTGAACTGGACACCCACTTGGTAATGGCCGAGTCTGCCTGGTCAGCAAAAGGACCTCAATGGGGAGGGCAGGAAGGGAGAGAAAAGGCAAACTGAGATATTTAGCACTCACCAGCCCAGTGAGCTATAATTATCATGTGTTTTTTGTTGTTTCTTTTTAAATAAAAAGGAAACAACAACAAGGGGTCTGGTGGTTCTCCTGGTCTAGTTTGTGTAGATAAGACAGATTCTGATGCACACCTGTGGGAACCTGAGCACAGAGCTTAATCCTGTCGGAGGATGTTACTCACCCTTTCTCTTTTGTGGCATTAACATCTAAGAAAAACAGTACCTTTGAGAATGAAGGTGGTCTGAGCACACCCGCAGACTCGCCTTGACGCGGCTCTGAGCAAAGCAGTTACTTCATGTGGAGGAAGCGGTAGACTTCGCTGCCGCCGGCTCAGGGTTTAGCTGTGACCGACACTGCCACTGTTGTCTCGCCTCTGCTGGGACCGCCACCCCGGGCAGGGGGGCAAGTGCCCCACCAGACACCACGCCTGCCTGCTGCAGTAGTGCTGCAGCTAGTCTCCCCCTGAAAAAGATGGGGGCACATCCAGGCGTGGGTTTTTAAAGCACGGTTGGGAAAAAGGAAAATCACGTGTTATAGGGCATTCTGGGAGTTACAGTGGTAAAATTAAGGGTCCAAATGAAAGTGGAGAGGTACGTTTGACATAATGTTCCTGCCTTTAACCTCCTTTTCCGCTTCTTTCATCCCTGTACCTAAGGGGAAATGCACCTGTGCCAGGGGAGAGCAACCTTTAAGAGAAAACATTGTATGTATTCCATCTGCCTGGGTAGGCCGTGTAGAAAATCCTTGAATGAATTACTGGGAGAGCGCCTTCTGCAGGCCCAGTAACCCTAAGGTGGTTATGCACAAAGGTGCAAGCTTTCCTGGCGCAATATATCAGCAGGCATATATATCACTGGTTGTAATTAAGACCTGATTTGAGATGCTGTGCTGAACAGAGGATTTGAATAAGCTGATCACCCTGTGTTAGACATAGGCGGGGTCAGACTTCATTTAAACCCAGAGAGAGACGTTTTGATCTCTTTTCTATTTAAGGTGTATGCTGAGTACATTGACAGCTTGTGAGTAAAATACTTTTCTCAAGGAAAACAACACAGCCTTCATTCTTCACACTTGAATGAATACCAGATGGCCACCAGCCCCTTTGAATGAACTTAAAGCAGAGTCCATTTGATTGGAACTTGATGTTAGTTCGAATCACATCCTTGCCATCTGGCTTCTGCCCCTTGCCCTCTGCACTGTGTATCAGAGGGGGCCTTGTAGATCTGCTTCAGTGTTCTTGCGTGTGTAGCAGTCTCTCAGGCATTGGGCTTGCTGTTGGTGTGGTGCACTTGTAGTTTTGAAGGCCTGCGCTCCTCACTCTACAGTCTATTAAGGAAAACATTTAACCTCCCTGAGAAAGTTAACTCATGTGTAAAAGTGGGATTAATGCCTCCCCTGTTAAGATTCCTAGGAGGATTAAATGACTTACGGGGCAGTGGGGGGGGGTATCTTATGTGTTGAGGGGAGGCCCTTACTAACCTTCACCTGGGGAGGTCTGTCCAAGTTACTTTCAATGAAAATTTTAAAGAGTCAACTTCCGTTTTGTTGATTTACGAGAACAGCAATGTGGAGATGGCATTTGTGGGCATGATTGTTTTTAGTTGGTGGCTTTTTTCAGTAAGAGGCATATCCTAGACCAGCGGCAAGAAGTAAGACTGTGTGGTTAAGAACTGAGTGCAGATGCCAGAACTTCACTTCAGCAGAACCTGCCATTCATTGGCAGCACAGTAGAGAGAATGACACACTCGCTCTGGTATACTTGTGACATGCCTCCCAACTCTCGTCTTTTCATTGTGTTTGGCCGGCACCTTTTCCTCATGTTAAATCATATATATTTTTTAAGTCATGCAGCCTTTAATGCTAGAGAATGCATAAGGGAGAATTAATTTTTTAATCAAAATTTATGAACTTGTACCAGCATTTTTATGATAGCCCTACTTGAATTATCTTTTTCTGTTTGACTAAAATAGAATTCGATTTTTCTATGGGGTATTTAACATTTGGGGTCATAATCATGCTCAGGATGAATTAATAGATCTTTGCTGAGTGCACTGTCAGGACAGAGCCCCCCTAGGTATGAGATGTAATTAAAAATGTCAAGTGAACTCACTCAGAGGTTCTCAGAGCTTCAGGGTCCCCTTGAAAATTCTAGGCGAGGACTAAAAATAGTTACGGGAATGTAGGGAACATAAGGAGTAGCAGCTCTCCACAACATGGAGGAAGAGGCCTGCCGGACACCTCCACTGGCTTCTCTTCTCTTCTCTTCTCTTCAACTCCTTGTAGTTGGGGATGTTATTCTTGCAATTCCTGCAGGGATGTTTTCTGAGCCTAGTAGCGGCCGCTCTACATAAATGACCAACGAAGAAGAGCCTCTGAATAATCTCCATGCTCTTTGCAACACTTCTCCCTAACGAGGTTACCAAACTCACTTCCTTTCCACTTGCAAGCTCCCTTCTGTTTTTGGCAGGGTTTGCAGTTTGTGGGCAGGGGGCCTTAAGAGAAAGGCTAAGACCCACTGGGTTATGACTGGCTGTCCCCACCCTCCACATCTCTTCTCTCCAGAGTGTGTGGTCTGCCTGGCTACCTCAGAGCTGTTTTGGAACAAGGAAGGTGTCGAAGGATGAGAATCTTTGTTTTGGCAGAGATCAGTAGATACAAAGTCTGGAACACATTAAAAAGTACTTGATTTCAGGCAAATAAATAATCAGTTATTTTTGAGCATGCACTTCAAATCAAATAGACAAGCAATCCTAATATATATATATATGTATATTTCTGTTTCTTTTTAGATTGCCTGTGTGTTCCTTTTCTATAAGTGATTTCCCAGACCGTAATTCTCTTCTGAGAGTTGAATTAGACTTGAGAACTTGGAGAACTGCCGCCTTCTGACTTCAGCGGTGTAATCAGCTGAAAACTTCACCCTTTGAAGAGTTCTGCACTTTGCCAGCCATCTCTTGAAAGTGGGTGCCAAAGGTAAGCCTGGGATTTTGGGCTTGAAATACATGGGAGATGTTGCTGCTTTTGCCTCAATGTGTACAGTAGGTTAACAAGATGACAGTAAGAGTAGCCCTGGTTGTTGAGTCATGTTAATTTTAAGCTTTCAGGATATCTGGTTGAAAAGCTAAAGTCACTGATGCTGCTTTGGCAGGTGATGGCCTTGAGGAACTAGGAAGCCGACTGGTGTGCACCAGCCTAGACAATGCCTCATGCCCCGCTGCTAGCTCTAGAGAAGGCAAAAGTGGGGAGAAACACCATGGTATTAAGCACCCTGCCGTCAGGGTGCCTCTGCTCAGGAAAGGCTCATTCTAAATGCAATACTGAAAAGATAGGTGTGCATTAAAAGGGGTAAACAAAGATATTCTGTGGAAAGTATTATTTATGACAAGTCTACTCATGTGCTTCAGTGAAATCATATCTGTAATAGTTTGTGGGCTATTACAGTATAATACTATACTATAATAGTTTCCAGAGGTCTTGGGATAACAGGTACTAGGTAGAGACACATCATTTGGGACATGACGTGAGAGTTCCTGTTTGGTGGTAGCATAATCTGGACTCTGTCTCTGGATGGCAGTAATGAGAGCTTTACGAGAAGGCACAATTTCACCTCCAGAGCTGTGTCCCCTCCTCCTTAGTTTTCCTTCAGAACCCAGTTTTGCTTCTGTTGTTCACAAATTGTTTTGAGCTATGTTTGATCTATAACTACGGACTATAAGATCTCTTGGTAGGATTTCTGTAAATTAGTTTACTACAAATTAGAATTTTTCTTTCATTTGGTCTAAAACCACTACTAAAATTTTTATAACTGGATATTTTTTCCTTTAGAACTTCTTTTTTTTTTTTTTTTCCTCAGAGAAACATCTTATTTTCAACTAGGTTTCCCTGGATTATGTGGTAATCAGAACACTATAGGGTGGAGTTGTACTATTTCATAAATGCAGGCTTCTGTGTCCAAGTGTTTTCACTCTATTATTTATTTTAGAGAAAAGGGCACCTTGTCCCATGTTTTCTTTATGATTTCCAGATCTAGCCCCTGTTTGTAGTTGAGAGTGGCCCACCTAAGCCTGGTCTCTCTTCTGCAGGTTATCCAGACCTCCCCCTCCTTGACCCTGCCCTGCCCAAGACTTTGTTAGCTCTTAACTAGCTTTAAGCCCACTCAGGCACTGAGAGTGCTCTCCCTGGTTTCCCTTGTGGAAGTTATATGCAAGAAACACCATTGGGGATCCCTGCTCCCTTCTAGGAGGATCCCATTAATAAAAACAGGCAGAAACAGCTCCTAGCCATGGCACTCTTAGGGCTTCTCTGTTCCTCCTGTGCATCTCCTGGCACACTTTAGTGACACTGTCATGTATGTATATATGTAGACAATATAAAGATGGAAAAAGAGACAGCCTGCGAGTACATGTTGAGTCAGGAAAATGACCGGGTCCATATTGTCCTTAGGCTGTGACAGTTCAAATTTTCCTGTTTTTGATGCCTTGGCAGTTTTGATGAGGACTTATCAGATGTCTGATGTGTTTTCTCATCATAAGACTGTGGCTATTCTCTCGGGGGGAGAATTCTACAGAGGTCAAGTGCCATTTTCATTGCCTCATGAAAGAGTCAAAACTGTTCATCAGACTTAGCAATGTGACAGTGACCTGGCCGACATCTTCACCCAGAAGTCTCTTTCCCTTCTCTGTCTTTAGCAGCAGATCTCTGAGCACAGCCCTTGCTTAAGGATAGGGAGTTATGCTCCACCTCCTTCAGCAGGGAGAGTCTCTACAGTTGATTGTTCTTCTGGAGAAAATTTGTCTCTCCACACCCATTTATTTCCTTCCTCAGTCATTAGGTCCCTTGCTTTTTAAAATTTTTTGGCCACATTCATCCATAAACCTAAACAATGTTGTTTGCTTCTTTTAGGGCTTTATAAGAATGCTGCACCTATGTAAGACATAGTCCTTTGGCTTTTTCTCCTACTCATCCAGCTTTCTGAACTTACTTGTGTGACCCGGGGGTGCTCCCGCACACTGCTGTGTGACCGTGTTATGTGTCATGTGCCCATGTGTCCCTCTGCTGACAGCAGGGCTGTTTCTTATACCTGGCATGAATGTGCAGCTCCGAGCATTGTGGGGGTCCCCTGATGCAAGCGCCAGGCCGCGACTCAGCTTGGAATCTCTGCCTTGCATGGTGTGGCTGTGTTTAGCTTTGCAAGATAATCCCAAATAGTCTTCCAAAGGGGTCATTTCACTTTACTCTCTCCAGTAGAGCACAAGGATTCCCATCGCCTCACAGCCTTCCTGACCTAACACATTATCAACCTTTTTCATTTTTATCTATCTAATATAAAATGCTATCTTATTGTGGCCTCAGATTATAAAAGCAGTTGAACCTTTTTATTTTTATTCTTATTCACCATTTGTGCTGCCCTCCTGTGCAATGACTGTCTTTTGCTTGCTTTTCAATTGAGTTGTTAGCTATCTTGTTATTCTTTGTCATTCTGCATACTGTTTATATTTCTTTACAAGTATATTTCACCATATTTTGACCTATGAAAACTGGTAATTCCTACTTGGGAATCCAGACTTTTTGTTTAACAAAAACACAGGCTCTTTTACTATGCCAACAATAGACAGCACTATTTATAAAGACTGTTTCCTGTAAAAAAAGAATCTTGTTGTCTTATAGCTCTGTTGAAAAGACCATGTGCATTTTGTATTGTTTCAGTTTTCTACAACCTATTTTTAAAACGTGGGGTTGATGATAGCTACACATTGTTCAGTGGCTGCAATTTTATTGACAACTGCTTCAATTATTTCTTTTTACTTACTACATTTTATTTTATTATTAATGATGTATCATTACTTTACATTCTTGCTTGTTTTTTCACAATATAGGACTTTCTCCTCAGGAGTGGTCGCCACAGTTTTCTCACTGCCAAAGCACCCATAGTCCTCCACACAGCCCACTGTGCTCTCCTCACCTCACCCATCCTGTCTCGTCCCCTTCCAGCCTCCAGCTCCCCCTACCCTTCCCTTCCTGGATAGTCAGATCTCTGGTCAGCTTTGAAGGGTTGGCTTTAACATTTGTCTTTGTCTGATCCTTTGTTTGGTTTCTCTGTATTCAAATTATACGTGAAACTCTTTTTCCCCTTCTGGCTCACTTCACTTAAAATAATCTCTTTCAGGTCCATCTGTGTTGCAGTATGCTCTTTGATCCCTGAGTAGTATGCAACTGAATAGATCTATTCCACCTTTTCTAGATACACTCATCTGTTCTAGAGCATTCATTTGCTCCATATCTTGATATTGTAAATAGCACTGCTGTAAACCATGGTGTGCATAAATACTTCTATGTATCAGAGTTTATGTTCTTTGGGTAAATACCTAGAGAGTGGAATTCCTGGGTTAGACAGTTGCTCTGTTTTTAGTATTTTAAGGACTCTCCATGCTTCTTTCCTAAGGGACTGGCCCAGTCCACATCCACACCCTTGCACCAGCCTTAGAGGGTTCCTTTTTCTCCACACCCTTGCCAGCAGTTGTTGTTTCAGCTTTTGTTGATAGGGGTCATTCTCACAGGTGTGAAGTGCATATCACAGGTTTGCATTTCCCTGATGATAAGTGTGATGAGCATTTTTTCATGTGCTGTTGGCCATCTGCACGTCTTCTTTGGAGAAGTGCCTATTTAGTTCTTCTGCCCTTTTTTTATTGGTTGTTTGTTTTCTTTTTGTACAACACTTAAATTCTTTTTGCCAGGTATGTAATCTAGTCTTAGACCCTGTCTTCTCAGTCATGTAATTAATGGGTGTTGCTAAACTTTTATCTGTCATTACCTGCTATTGTGCTAATCAGTTCTAAAAAGACTTGGGTGATTCACTCTTCATTATTGATCTTCATTTCATGAATATTTATGCCTGTTTTATGTGCTTTCACTCAAAGTAGCTGAAGAGTGCAAGATTCATATTTTTAATTGGAATTCTATCATTTGCATCAGGAGTAAAGAAACCTTATTATGTACAATAACAATATATCAAAAGGTGATATTAGTTTAGCTGAAGCATGTTTTTGAATCCAACATCAAAATGAGGACTTCACTATAGGATGCAGTAGCCTATCAAAGCCTTAATCCACGAGCTAATTCTGTTGGAGCAGGCCCTTACCGGGTACTGATCACCCACCAGCAGTGAGTGCCTCCACTCACTGCTACAGTACTTGCTGAATACAACATAGGCTCAGTCCCCTCCTGAGAGCGCGCCTGGCCATGAGACACTGTCTTGTTTGTGTCTTCAAGGGACTACTTTTAGTGAAAGAAAATAGATGATCAATAAAATTATGTAGGAGTACATCATGGAAAAGAAAACAGCAAGGGGCTGTAGGGAACAGAGTAGCTATTTTAATAAGATTGAGCAGGAGAGATTGGCAGCTTGGATTTAGTCAGGGGTGAATATGTGCAAGGGAGAGCTGATCAAGGGAGAGAATATTTGAATACACACCTAATGAAGTGAGAAGACCAAGGGGTCTGCAGGTAGGTCTCTGGGGATGAGCGTTCCCGACAGCAGAGCAGATGCAAAGGTCCCAAGCCAAGTGCCTACCTTGTTTTTTGAGGAATGGCAAGATAGGATTAGTAAAAGCATATGAGTTTGAAGAAAGAGTGGAAGGTCAAGTCTTTTTTGACCTTGGTAAAGGCTTTGGATTTTATTCTAGTGTAATGGGAAGCTATAGTGATGGTTGAACAGGAGCGTGGCACAAATCATTGTAAGTTACCTACGTATCGCAGGAAATAGTGTGGAAGTGATGGAGAAGTGGTGACAGGCACAGCTAGGAGAAGGTTGCCTCGTCTAACAAGAGGAGCTGTGGTGTGGCATGGAGGGGAGGGTGCATGGTTAGATTCCAGACACTTTGAAGGTGAGTCTGTGGGGTTGCTGAGGAAACAGTGGAGTGTTTGGGAAGGGAGAAGCCTCTGGGGGATGGGGTGGCTGTCAGATTTTTGTCGTG